AGGCCCCATAAGATCTTGTCCGAGTCCTGGTTTAAAATTAAATTAATTTTAAAAAGTGACCCAAAATTGACTGTCAATAAATGTTCTACAAAATTGATATATGTACTAGATTTCTTTGATTTGTACTGTCTGTTTAGATTTATGTGATATTTTTTGCACAAAATATATAAGTGAATATTGTAACAGTTATGTTTTCAACTGTAAGCATTAAATTGATAAATGTTATTTGCATTTTTTTGGCTTTATCCTTTCCAACAAAAAAAAAGGCGTCGCGCAGGTAGCTCCTTTTCCTTATGAGCCGTCCCCACCAACTTTCAACACAAAGTTACACCCTTGCGCTCCATTGTTAGAAAAACACATAAAAAAAAAACAATGTTATAGTATTACATGATTTAAAAAACAACAACATGTTACTGACCTTTCTAGTTTGAGCTGAAAAGCTGCCATTTGATCACACTTTGACATTTACAGAAAGTTTCTCAAACTGAAACCCTATTTCCAGCCCTGAGAATTGTCCTTTGTTCAGGCATTGAAGCCTTTGTTTATTATATGGAATTTACAGTTTATGTGGATGAATGGTATAAAAAGCACACCCTAACCCCAAGCTTGTGTTGGAAATACACACTCTTATCTCTCTGTACTTATTTTCCACGGACAGACTGGATCGTGTGACACTTCATCCAGCAAAGCACAATAGTGACTGCCGGCAGCCATTTTGGGGCAAAAGAGTTGACCCAGAACACATGGACAAGCTGACCCAAAAAGTTGGGTTGTTTTTCTGATCTCGGTGGGAAAATTGATACAAGAAAGTGCCCCACACTCTCAGATGTTGAATTACATTAGTGACACAATAGGTACAATGGACAGAGCTATAAAAGAAACAAGAATGGGTGAGACTAGGTTAAAACATTCTGTGTCGTAGGGAAATCATATTTAATTGTCAAATCATTCTGGCTTAAACATGTATATACACTCACCGGCCACTTTATTAGGTACACCTGTCCAGCTGCTTGTTAACACTTAATTTCTAAGCAGCCAATCACATGGCGGCAACTCAGTGCATTTAGGCATGTAGACATGGTCAAGACAATCTCCTGCAGTTCTAACCGAGCATCAGTATGGGGAAGAAAGGTGATCTGAGTGACTTTGAACGTGGCATGATTGCTGGTGCCAGAAGGGCTGGTCTGAGTATTTCAGAAACTGCTGATCTACTGGGATTTTCACGCACAACCATCTCTAGGGTTTACAGAGAATGGTCCGAAAAAGAAAAAGCATCCAGTGAGCGGCAGTTCTGTGGGCGGAAATGCCTTGTTGATGCCAGAGGTCAGAGGAGAATGGCCAGACTGGTTCGAGCTGATAGAAGGGCAACAGTGACTCAAATAACCACCAGTTACAACCAAGGTGGGCAGAAGAGCATCTCTGAATGCACAGTACGTCGAACTTTGAGGCAGATGGGCTACAGCAGCAGAAGACCACACCGGGTGCCACTCCTTTCAGCTAAGAACAGGAAACTGAGGCTACAATTTGCACAAGCTCATCGAAATTGGACAATAGAAGATTGGAAAAACGTTGCCTGGTCTGATGAGTCTCGATTTCTGCTGTGACATGCGGATGGTAGGGTCAGAATTTCGCATCTACAACATGAAAGCATGGATCCATCCTGCCTTGTATCAACTGTTCAGGCTGGTGGTGGTGGTGTCATGGTGTGGGGAATATTTTCTTGGCACTCTTTGGGCCCCTTGGTGAAAGTAAAAGTGCACTGTCGTAAATATGCTAAGCTGTTCTACTGGTTTCTCCGTCAAGCCAGGCGCGGTTGTTTTGAGCTTAGCAGACAGGCGAACGCAACAAATCACCATGTCTACTGCCGTAAGTGACTATTTTGTTCCAATTTTTGAGTTTGAAAATTTAGCATGTTTTCATACATTATTTGTTATGCATGTGTCTAAATAACAAAGATTGTAGTTAGCCATGTTCTCGTGGTAAAGCAAGACAGACTCTTGCGATCCACGACACTTCTGACACGACGCGTCTGGGCCGAGGGCTCCTGCAATTGCAAGTACGGGATTTCCCCTACAGACCACCAGGGCGGCCGAGAAAACCTTTGTTCGACCTGAAATGACTCATTTAATCATCCAAAACGTTATGGAACACATTAATTAACTGAAAAATGTTGCATAGTATTCCTTTAAAATAAGGAACATTTACTTTACCATTGAGGTATGTCCTAGTGTTTCCTGGGATGGAGGTCTGTGTCTTCAGCAGGCGTAGAGCTAACAGAACTGGCAGCGTTGCGAGGCAAGGGCTCAAACATGTACGGCTGTAAGCCTTCTACACGAAACGAAGCTTCTGTCGCCCTGGCATCCTCTTCCACAACATCTTCGTCCCTGCTTTCTTCCTCTAAATAAAAAATGTATGACGGAGGACACTCATCCACGACCTTCGACACAAAACACTCCCCGTCTTGCATCAGCTGTCCATAGCATTCCTTGACAGAGTCGTTTCTAAGTCACCAATTTTGTGCTACACGGTCCCAATGTAATTTCCCATTGGGAACCTACTTGCACTAAATAATCGCTAACTGGTTAGTAAGATGCTTATGATAAACCGGTCACATGGTTTCCCGTGTGACCGGTCGTTTCCCTACGACTTTAAAGTCGTTTCCCTACGACTTTAAAAGAGAAGCTTTTTATTTGTGTATCCATAACAACGGGGCGAAAGCTAAGCCTATAGCAACATTTTGATGTAAAATAGATTTTCTTTGAGTAGATGTGCAGTTTCGGTTTTATATAGAATAAAATGGCTTCAGGAAAGTATGTTTATTTAACTTCAATTAAGACAAAAGAAAAACTTCATGGTTGAGAAGGAAAAACTCTTATTTTTCTTGTATCCATTTTTGGAAGTGATGCTTTCTCTGTCATCACTGTATGATGAGTCAGCTACCACTGCTCCACATGTACATTTGAATTAGAACAGAAGTGTAAAACTTTGATAGGGGTTCCTGTTGATTTAAAAAAAAAATGCTCATCTGTCTTTATCATTTTCTTAGATTTAAATACATGTTTCCACAACTAACAGCTTACTGTCTATAAAGAAACTGATCGTACATTGTCAGCAGGTGTTTTTTTTGTGGTGGACTTAAAAGATTCGATGGAATTAACTGTAATGCTTGGATGAACCAAGAACTGAAGATTTGCTTGTCTTCAGATTGTAGAGAGGATAAAAGTTTGTGTGTTTAATATTTAATCTAAACACCTCTGAGGGAGATATAGCATTTATTTTTTATTTGACTGTAACCTACTGACAACCACTATATTGTCTTGGCAAAGCCAATTAATGGTGATGCCCATCTGCATGAGAAACCTGACAATGGCATTGCACAGAATAAATCACTGTTGTCTTTTATTTTATTTTAATCTTTTTTATTACTTCTGGCTTTAGAAGCTTCCACGTCAGTAAGATTTACATTGATGCACAAACACAAGAGTGAGGCTGTACCAAGGAACCACATTTGTAACTTTAAAGCAAAATGCATCATGTCATTATGTCAGCCGGTACACCTGAGGAGGGCAAAGATTTCTTAGTCAGTCTTATCAGTCTGTGCTTTGTCCATTAATCTAACCAACATGTTGGTGAATGTTTCTTTTAATTGATGTTTAGGGTTTCTCTGATTCACTACAACATCTTTGCATACCTTGTTCTCTTTCTCGGAAGACATAGATTCAGTCTCTTCCTTTTTTTTAGCTTGTCCTCTGCCTCATCTTACCTACCACCTATCTTACTTGGCACCTCAGAACACAGTCTCCAGCTGTAAAACCTCCTATATAAGTTGTATCTTTTACAGATTTGATAAACCATGATTTACAGCCTCTGTTTACCAAAACCATCTGGGTACCCTTCGCCTTGTTCTCCAGCTGTGTACCATGGAAACAAAATGATGCATTCTTTATACAGATACATTGTAAATCTGATAATATTTTATTGGTATGTTTGTGTTGTGAAAGCATTACTGATAAATTAGGTGAGTTCAGAACTAGATATTAGCAGATGCAGCAAACAGATCAGTGATGAAGATTTGGGAGACTGATGGGTTAAATGATGGACCCATACACTGCTCTAAAAATATGGTAAAACATATGGTCTTACAAGATTCAACATTTTGTATGTCTTTTATATTAGAGGTCTAGTGTAAACTAGAAACTGGATGTAAGGATTTTTAATAAGAGGAACTCAAGACAAATCATAGATAATGTAAATAGAACTATAGAGGCATATATGTTTATGCTGAATACATTTAAGGAATTTGTGGATGTATTTTCTGTAACAGAAGGAAACCAATGTAACTGAGGTTTTGATAGTGCCTGTTATTTTCTGAAAATGAGATAGTTTGTCCTTTTTTCTGTACCATTGCAGATCTTATTGTCAAGCTGGCAAAGGACAAGTTTGGAGCCATTCAAACCGAATATAAAAAGGTGAGTGAGTGAGTGAGTGAGTGAGTGAGTGAGTGAGTGAGTGAGTGAGTGAGTGAGTGAGTGAGTGAGTGAATGAGTGAGTGAGTTGGTAAATGAGTGAGTGATTCAGTGATTGACTGAGTGAGTCAGAGTGAGTCAGATCGTGAATGAGTCAGAGAGTAAGTGAGTGAGTCAAAGACTGAGTGAGCTAGTTATTCAGTAAATGCATGAGTGAGTGAGTGAGTCAGTGAGTGAACAAGTAAGTAAATTAATCAGTGAGTGAGTCAGAGAGTGAGAACATGAGGGAAAGAATGAAAAAATTAGTGAGTAAGCAAGAGATTAAGTCAGTGAGTCAATGAGTGAGTCAGTGATTGACTGAGTCAGTGAGTGAATAAGACAGTGAGGGAGTCTGCGAGTGAGTCAATAACTGAGTGAGAAAGTTAGTCAGTAAATGAGTGAGTGAGTCAGTGATTGAGTCAGAGAGTGAGAACATGAGGGAAAGAATGAAAAAATTAGTGAGTAAGCAAGAGATTAAGTCAGTGAGTCAATGAGTGAATCAGTGATTGACTGAGTCAGTGAGTGAGTCCGCGAGTGAGTCAATAACTGAGTAAGAAAGTTAGTCGGTAAATGAGTGAGTGAGTCATTGATTGAGTCAGAGAGTGACTCATGTTTACTAAGTAACCTACTTAGTAAACGTGTGAGTGATTGAGTCGGTGGGTGAGTGAGTCGGTGAGTGAGTGAGTGACTCAAGGAGTGACAAAGTGAGTGAATCAGTGAGTGAATGACTGAATTAGAGAGTAAATTAGTCAGTAAGGGAGTCACTTAACGAGTGAGTGAGAGTGAGTTAGTCAGTGGGTGAGTAAGTCATTCATTTATTCAGTCATTCAATCAGTGAGTCAGAGTCAGTCAGTCATTTTGGCACCTTGTCACCTTGTTTTAATGTATTTTTTTAAACTTCAAATAAACAGAAGCCCTGTACTTCTGAGCTACTCTGTGACATAAAACATTTACTGTAAGGAGAGCTGCTCATATGGGTTTTAATATTAACTAGCTTTGTTTCCATACACTCTTTTTTATTACAGAGGATATACAGCCTTTCTTCTAATAACCTAAATTAAGGATTTCTTGGATGCAGCCTTTCACATATAGACTTGTTATTCACATAATATACTCTGTATTCTGAAATTACATTTAGATAAACCCAAAAAGTGCTTTTTTCACTGTGTTTTGGTACATTATGTATTGGTGTCTTTGCATGCAGGCTTTGTTGTTTTTCTTTCTATTGGTCTTTTTCATATGTTTGTGTTTTGTGGCTTTGCTCTTTCTTTGATGCTGCACTGCCCGTGTCTACTGCATGTCCTCTTCATCTCGTCTGGCTTCACTCAGCCAGAGAATATAGTGCTGACCTTGCAGGTAAAGTCTGCACTCTGGACTTTTTGTCCAACCCATCTGTGGTCTAACTCCTCCTCTGTTAGTCAACAGGGTGGTACAACTACATCTGAGAAAGTCATTTTTCACTCTTTTTAAACAGTTATTTTACTAATTTAAAGTATATTTTGGTGAATTATGGTGATTAGTTGTGCAGCCCTGAGTCTTTCATGCAGCTGTCCCATTTTCCACCACCCCTTATCCCTCAGTTTGTCCTTCTGCTCTGCTTTAAAAGTATGTTCTCAGAGAAGGAGAAATGCTTTTTAGATCTCAGAAAGGACAACAGTGAGTAATGGAAAACCAAAACATTATAATTTGGATTTCACTTCATTATTGGTCATTCCAGAGCTTTTTAGTTTTAAATAGGTTGCATTTTATTATTTCTGAAATGCCTTAAGTCCGAAGCACCACCTCTTCCTCCCTGTTGGTTACAGTTTCATTGGTATTTTGTCACTACAGACTTTAAAGTTGTTGAGAAGACTAGATAACAACTTCAAAATATTATTGGCTTTGTTTGGATTGAATTAACTTTTTAATGTATGTGTAAAAAATAAAAGTATAACACCAGATTTTTTATGTTTTACATTATTGTGTATATACACTTGGAAACTTATGTAGTACTAAACTTTATTGTTCAATTAACCCATAACACCAAACTTATAAATACAACTTGTGATAGACTAGACCAAAATAGAATAGAGTAGAATAAATAGAATATAAATATCCTTTCACTATCCCTCTGTGGGGAAATGCAGGTGTATTGACTGCAAAATACAGGCAAAGTGATAGAAAAAAGAGAAAAAACAAAACAAAAAACAGGCTGCACAGAAAGGGTACATTAAAGACATAAACATACGACAGTTATTAAAATATGATATTTTCATACATTTCGATGAGCAACTAAATATAAATGTATACACAATAATAATTGTGCTAAAAAAAACAAGTATTTTTCAAGAACAGAAAAAACTTCTAATAACAAAAGTGATGGAAACAGTTATTGCGCCTATTGGTAGCAGTGATAGTTAAAAAGTCTAAAAACTGCTGAGGAGAGTGATATATGATAATTGCGCTAACATGCAAACAGGATATAGCATGTTTTTTTGCAGAAGGGGCACTTTTGTTCTGCAGAAGTAATTATGTGTGAGTTGGGAGACATTTTTCAACAACTCTTCAGGGCTCCAATCTCCCTCCACCTTCATTGAGTCAATCGAGATGCCTGATGAACTCATCCATCTGCTCCATCTCAGCAGTATATAAGATATTTCAGGATAAAAGATTACCACCTGAAAGTCAAATAAGGTTTTCAGAAGTGCACCATTACTCAAAAAGATAAAATTTTCCTTAGCAAGTAGAGTCTGATCTGACCCATCTTATTATAGGAAGAGTCCCTGGATCCTTGGATGGGCTGGGTGTGTTTCTGCAGAAATCTGCCACCAATTCCATGTTTATTTATTTTTTTTGCACATAGATCAATCTAACCGGACATTTAACAAAGTGCTTTGAATGACAAACATATTGTCCTAGTTTCATGATGATGCACCATATTAGTATTGCAAAGCCTTGTTGGAAGGGCAGTCATTGTTGATTAAAACATTCTGAACTTGCATTTGAGTATTTTAATGTTGAAGGGAGATACTCACACAAATGGCATTGCACAAAAAATGTTGAGATAGGAAGCACTGGAAGCATAGAGAGGAAAGAGGTTAACAGGCATACATTACAAGTGATGTTGTCATCACAGTAGCTATAATTATTATTGCCAACACAAGTCATTTGTTTATTTTTTTGTAATGTAATGTAAGATTTTACATACTGCTCTGTTTTATATACTTTGTGGTCCTGTAGGCTAAAATGCCAATAATATGTTTTTTTGTTTTTTTTTTACATATGCTTGGCAGATATTTCTAGAACATAGGTGGGTTTAGCCATGAAGAAGCTGTTTGTATTAATGCTGAAAAGGGTTTATTTTGGTAGACACAGACAGACTAATTCCATTTAATATTTTAGTTTATGTGCACACAGTACCATCTGCTGCCAGTGAGGCCCAAGAAACCAGCAGGGACTTGCATTGCAGACATGCATTGCTTTCTACATAAAAAGTTAGATTAATTCTACTGTGTTTGGACTAAGTTATTTTTTTATGTTTCCTCTACATAGGCATACTGTCTGAGTAATATTTCCACATAATAATGAGAAGACTTGTATTTCCAAAGCACACTTTCGTTCACAGAACCAACTCCAGATTGAACATTAATATACCAATAATTTATTAAATATTTTTAAAGTTTCTTAGTCAAAAGGCAAAATGAGGACTTAGGAATTTATTCGAGTGGGGATGAAATTAGTTTTTTACTGTGTTAAACATGGGACGATGTTTTATTCTTATTGGTTCACTGTTCAGGCGCCTATGGCCACAACAACAAATTAAGCTGAAATAGAAAAAAGAGGTTGAAACAAAAGGCTTCTCCATTAGGGGACTCACACCATGGTGTATCTCAAGTAATGGCTTTAAGGTATTAAGCTTAGACTCACAGTAGGCAGGTTATTTGCATGTCTAATGGCTGCTGCTGGCATTAGATTTAATCAAATCTACATCATCTTAATCTGTCAGACATGCTGCCAGCCTATCATTCACTGTGTTCCTTTTAGAAGGGCACCTTTTTACTTTGGGCATGTGCCAAGTCAAAACTGATGTCCAGAAATAGTAAACGCTGCAGGCACTCACAGAATTCAAAGAAAAAAAAACCCAAAAACATACCGGTATATACATGGTTGACCTTTTTTGTAACAGATAACCCAATACCAAGCAGTACCCAGAAGCATAATGACAATGGTTGACATTGGGGCTTTTAAATGACTCACATACATTAAAACTCATTTATGCCTCATTTCTTTTTCTCCTCTTCTGCCTACCGGCATTAATACTGTCCCATTTGCAGATATATCCTTTGATGATTTTAGGTTTGAAAAGGTTAGACTGCTGTGAAGAGCCGAGGCGCATAACAAAAAAAGACGGAAGATCCACACAGAATATTTTACGACCAGTTTAGCCGACGTCAATATTTATATTCAGCTGGAGTCCTAGATTACTGTGGGTCTATGTTGAGGGATTTCTACATTTCCTGCGTGAAAATATAAAGGACAAAATCCTAAACAATGAGGCTGAAGTAAAACAGCATTGCTCCTCTCCTGCTGTGAGTTAGATTAACAAGTATGTGCTGTTTTCTTGTTCTAAAATATCTTGAAGTGTTAAACATAATAATGGTTTTAAAATCCCTAGAGTTTGTTGTCACAGCATTCATGTGGTTCAAGCTAATTTTAATGGCAGTTCTTTATTTTTTTCTACTGGTAGTTTATCATAGTTACATCAATTTCCTCAGGTGTTCCTGCATGCAGCAGCAGGGGCACATAGCAGAAAGCTGGGATTCAATCAACACCTTTCTGATTTGAGGACAACTTCCTCGCACACTAATCTAAAACCCTACATGCTAGATACAAGAAAATTAACTACACATTTTTTTGTATTGTGAGTACAAGGAGTTGGTGACTGGGTAGTAAAAACCAGAGATAGGTAAAAAAATAACATAGGACAGCCCTTCTGAATTTGAATTTAATTGCATTAAAATGTCAGACATTTTCCACTATTTGACTGTCAGAATAAACAATAAATCGATTGATAATGTAATAAAAAATTCTTTCATTATATATTTAATAGATTTCAATAATTTACGTGTGCATGCTTAGTTGTTTTCCTTGTTTCTCTTTCTACTAGAGAGTCTGGATGACATAAGGTTTCACTCCAGAGTAGGGTTAACACAATTAATTGGATTAATCATGTTTAATCGTCAAATTATTTAGTAATCAATTCATTGTTAACTGGAGTATGCAGACTATGACACATGCCTTTAGCTGAAAGAGGATTACGCAGAGAAGTAATTATGCAGATATTATTAAAATAATGTAAAAAAAAAATTTTTTGCATTTAAGATGAAAACCTTTGATGTCCTTTAATATTCATTATCCAAAACTCCTCAGCAGGCATATTTTCAGACTAGGTTAAAATTTTGCAATCAGTTACAGCCCTACTACAGTGCATTCCTCATTATACATACCTCCCCTCGTTATTTCCTTAGCCTTCTGAGTGCAACAATAGAGTCTTATGACAAGGAGGTAGGAAGCCAGAGAAACGCCTGTGTCACAATTTGGTTATGGATTGTTGACCCAAAAGCAAAGGCAGGAAGACAGAGGTGAATTTCTTGGTGATTTAATGAAGTAAAACAGAGGCAGATAATCCAAAAAGAAAACTAAGTCCAAAATAACAGGAAACCACGAGTCAAAAAATCCAACAATCAAAGCAAGAAAACAAACCAGAAACCATGGAGACATCAGGGGGATAACTATCACAAGGTGGAAGGCTCAGAGAGACGGAGTAGGAGGAAGTTTGATGAGGAACCAGAACTGAAGAACTGCACAGAGAGAGTATTTATGGGAGACTGAAACAAAGGGAGAGATAACGAGCAGATTAGGAGCAGGTGTGAGTAGAGCAGAAACAAGAAAGGGGCAAGGGAAAAAAGGAGAACTCAAGAAGGCAGCAGAGGGCAACAAATAAAAATTTGAGAACTGAAAATAACCAGAAAACACAACAAAATAAGAATTAAACCACTAACACTATAAAACATGGAGTAAAGCAAAACTGAACACTCAAAAGAAAACATAACAGAACCAAGACTAAGACAGAAACAGAGAAAAAAACAAGAAACACAATAAAATAAGAATTAAACCATAAAAAACTAGAAAACAAGGAGCAAAGCAAAACTGAACATCCAAAAGAAAAAAGAAAAAAAAAAACATAACAGAACCAGAACTCTAACAGCTTGTTGAAGTTTTGTTTAGAAAAACATCTATGCAATTGATTTTTAAACCTAAATGTGACAGATGCAATGTATACAATTTATTATCCAGAAAAGTTTTTTGTAATAACACACCTAAACCTGAGTGAGCTTAACAACAAAAATGACAGACCAGTTCCAACTTATCTTGTAGATGACGTCTAATATCTTATACATATTAAGTTTGTAAAAAAAAAATCTACTTAAATAAAATTGTCAAATTTTAGAAAAGTTGATGAATATCTGATAATGTGCCATATTAAATTATCTGCTGCTTATCTGCTAATTATCCACTTAGATGTGGATTTGTGCTCTTTCAAAAGAAAAAAAAAAGTTTTATAATTCCAGTTGAATCTTGTTCAGAATCTGTTTTCCCTGTTTTATCACAAATTTCAGTAAGGAAGGTTTTCCATCAGGATTGCAGCCTTTATATCTCATTACATCGGAGAAAAGAGCACTACAGGCTAACTTAGATTGGTCAGATTCCTTTGACTGTTTCCTCCATCATGCCTCATGCTGTATGCTGCTATTCTTTTGATCACTGTTTGAAATATATTCAAACTCTCTGAGGCTTTTCTTTTAGAGTTGCCCTGACCAGACTAACTAATGCTGAATTCCAGTTTTTCTTTCATGTGTAAGCTTACAATCCTGTTTATTTTAAAGGCTATATATCGTTAAAGAGGGGGGAAAAATAAAAGGGTCATTAATCTAAGAGCTTATTTATATATATATATATATATATATATATATATATATATATATATATATATATATATATATATATATA